AGAGGTCCTGGCATCCACACAACTCTGAGAAACAAAAGGAACGATGATAGATTTAGGAATCTCTGTTTTACACACTCCCCCAGGAGTAAATCACAAGAGTCTTGGCAGGCATCATGAGAGAAACTATCAGCTTCCTGATGTTTGTTGTAAGTGACCAGAGAAGTGCATAAAACTACAAATAAAGCCATTTGTTTTGCTAAATCAGTCATGAACCTAGTGGTTTTTCTAGAAAATACAAATAATAGAAATTAATTTGTAAGCCTTTGTTTAGGCCACAGCAAAACCATCCAGAGGGACCTTGACACACTTGTGAGGTGGGCTGATGCCAACCTCATGAAGTTTAACCATGATAAGTGCAAGGTCCTACACCTGGGTCGGAGCAATCCCAGGCACAGCTACAGGTTGGGCAGAGAAGAGATTCAGAGCAGCCCTGCTGAGAAGGACTTGGGGGTGTTGGTCAATGAGAAAATGAACATGAGCCGGCTTCAGTGTGCACTTCCAGCCCAGAAAGCCAACCGTATCCTGGGCTGCATCAAAAGGAGCTTGACCAGCAGGTGGAAGGAGGTGATCCTGCCCCTCTGCTCTGCTCTTGTGAGACCTCACCTGGAGTTTTGTGTGCAGTTCTGGTGTCCTCAACATAAAAAGGACATGGAGCTGTTGGAACAAGTCCAGAGAAGGGCCATGAGGATGATCAGGGGACTGGAGCACCTCCCGTATGAAGATAGGCTGAGAAGGTTGGGGCTGTTCAGCCTGGAGAAGAGAAGGCTGCATGGAGACCTCATAGCAGCCTTCCAGTATCTGAAGGGGGCCTATAGGGATGCTGGGGAGGGACTCTTCATTAGGGACTGTAGTGACAGGACAAGGGGTAACGGGTTAAAACTTAAACAGGGGAAGTTTAGGTTGGATATAAGAAGGAAATTCTTTCCTGTTAGGGTGGTGAGGCACTGGAATAGATTGCCCAGGGTGGTTGTGAATGCTGCATCCCTGGCAGTGTTCAAGGCCAGGTTGGACGAGGCCTTGGGTGATATGATTTAGCGTAAGGTGTCCCTGCCTGTGGCAGGGGGGTTGGAACTTGATGATCTTAAGGTCCTTTCCAAACCTAACGATTCTATGATTCTATGAAAACACTGAAGAATGCTGGTTGAAATAATTAATCTCAACTTACACAGTCATTCCTTTTATTTCTGAAGGCTAATGGAGTCAAAACATGCTTTCCAGACCTTTGCTAATGACAGAGTCAAAAATAATGTTCGGGGACCCTTATGTTATTCTTATAATGAGGAAAGCAACACAAAATGATAGGGAAGCGAGTCCTCAACAATCACTTGTTCTTTATCTAAAAGGCAAATGGAGCGTTCAGATGAGTTCTTTAAGTTAATGGAGCCACAAATAAGGTTTTGGAGCAGGGATTTTTCACAGATAATGCAAAACGGGCAGTACCTTCTCTGGGGGACAGAAATCTTTCTGGACACTGGGATTTCACTGGCACAGAGAGGCAGCCTAAAAGCCAACACTGCAAGTGTAAGCCAAATCCATCCTCTATTTCCCATCCTCCCCAGGTCTTCATATGCAGTCCTCTGGGGTGTAGAGGCACCACATGCCCAGCCTGGGTTTCGGGTACTGGAGCAGTGCAGAAAGGTCACAGGCAATGTGGGTCCCAAACTAGGATCAGCAAAGGGGCCACAGTGAATTTGAAGATTACTCCTCACCCACCTGTCAACTGAACCTCACATTCCCCTGCCATGCACTTTTCTGACCCCTATTCTATACCCTTGCCTGAAGCACAGATGGTGGAACCCACTCAATCCGCACAAGACCCCCAGCAAGATGAAATGACCTAGTGACACCCACTCCACTGCTGTTTGCTGAGGGTCATCAGTTTGGACAAACCAAGCTCAGGAAGCCACTCAAAGGAGCCCCAGGCAGCTGCTCAGGCAGTTTTACCCCAAGGCCAGAAGACAGAGAAAGTCATCCACAAGATGTTCAGCTTTAGATGGAAGGGGCAGAGCGTGGAAAGTCCCTCAAGCTCTTTGCTGCTGGTCAGATGTGGCTTGTTGACATCTGCTACAGACAACTGGAAGGAGAAGTGAGAGCCTGGAAAGACTTCTTCCCTGCAAGGTCCTTCTTCCTAAAGGAGATTTGTACCTGCTGCTTTCTCACAGGGTGGTGAAAGCAGCAGCAGCAGAGCAGAACACCCATAACCTCAGGACAGCAGTTTAGGTCCAGGTCTGAAGAAGCTTAGGCAGGATCTCTGCCATACAGTCCTAAGTCATTGTTCTCTCTGTAGAAATATAGGAGGGAATACGAGTCCTTCGTTCACTCGTAGGAAAGCCTTCCCTGCAAAGGGAGGATCCTCTTAGTCCTTCTCAGGCTGAAGGGTTAGATGGTTTAAAAAAATCCGTACCCTATCACTGTTTATTCAGAAGTTGGAGGCCATACATAATCCACCAAATAAGTTAAGAAAGATGCATAATTAGTACAATTAAGAGTATCTCATTCCTTTCAATATGAGACCATCACAGGGGAAAAAAAATTTCTACTGACTGCTATGATATTTATAATTCAGTACATATCATAAAACAGTCTCCTAGAGAGAAAGAGATAATAGTTCACAGATATGTTTGGGTTTTATTAAAGCCTGCTCAGCAGTTACATATTAGAAGAAGAAATTTAAACCCATTGATCTGTCAGGGTTAATGACAAGAGAAACAAATTTGGTAAGTAGGTTCAATTCTCAAGTCCTTATCTTAATAGAGTTAACTTTTCTTAGGCTGTGATCTCATCAACTCCCACAAGTCTAGCGGCAGGAGCTTTGTTAATGTGTTCAGTGGAAGCCCATAAGCATGTAGAGAAGTACCTTGAAGTGATAGAGGAAAGCTGCCTAAACGTGGAAGTCAAGACTTGAGCCCAGTACCCTAGCTGACATTTGCTTGGTGCATCCATCTGTAAAAAGAAATGTGGAGACAACGTACTCAAAATCTTTGACCATAAAAGATTCTGCAAAAGTCTGTGGGTTTGTGTTAGGGTAAGTGATGTTTTGTTCTGAGGGGGAAAAACGCTACTTAGAGCATCTGTCAATGGATCCATGTTCGTATGTGCAACTTCTTCCTGAAATTTTTTGCCTTTGACTTGAGATGCTGGATGAAATCAAGATATTCCTAATATTTAAATGGAAATAGATTCCTCTTCTGTTGTCTTTACATCATTCTATAGAAATTTGAGTCTTTGATGCTGTAGAGCAAGCATGAGCTGGAGAAATTCTGCTATTATGTCTTTCTCTCCCTACCCTGACCAAGACAGTATGAGATGCTAATCACCCTTCAATCCTCCCAGCATGAAGACTGGCTCTTGAGAGTCTATTAATGAAGACCCATCTGCAGGAAGCTGGGCTTGTGGCTTGGACAGATGGTACAAGAATACCCAGATAATGAACTGGGAAGGGCAGTTGTCCAAGAAAGTACTTCAAGTAACTTTAAATGCATATTTGACTAGGTGTAATTTATCAGCACGAATCTTTAGTCACAAGCATCGCATCAAGCTCAGGGAAGATATAAGCCACTTTAATCAGCTTGCCCCCGGGCAGGAAAAGCACACAAAGAGAAGGAAGAGTATCATGACTAGCAGAGTGACAAGTGCTGAGCATAGAGTAGGTCTCAACAGTCACCTACACACCCACCAAGTCTGATTCACTTATTGCTGGTACAACACTGTCACCCTTACCTGTAAGAGACTAACACTAACATACGCAACAAACTAAAAACAGTCTGTGCTGGCAAAAGCCATTGGCAAAACAGTCAGTGATGAGATCCAAACGTATTAACCTCATGTAACAGATATTTCAAGAGGAAAAAAAAGGAAAAAAAATAATCCTGTGTTAGGGCTGCCATGAGTGAGTCGACCAGATTGGAAGAGTTCCTTGGTCCTGCAATCAGGTGAATGATTTAGCATCTGGCAACATTAAAACCCATTTTATTGAAACGGAAAATGCAGACTGCACCATCCCATCTCTCTGTGTAACCACTCTGTCCCCATCATTACTGGCTACTCCATCAGTTTGTGTGTCATCTTCAGATTTTATCAGCAGCAATTTTATGTTTATTTCCAGACCACTGATACAGAAATTTAAACAACACTGGACACAGACTATTTTATAAAAACCTCTCTCCCATCAGTCAGCATCCCCTACATCTTTTGACTCGAGGCAAAATACTGCACTGGGCCATGGTGAACACATTGCAAAAGCATATTATCTCTCTGCAGTCACTGTCAAGAGCTGAATTTGTAATCTCATACAAAATGTAAGCTGAACAGTTCTTCTCTTTACCTCAGTCTGCCTCCTTGAAAGCTATGTTGCCTGATATTAATTGTATTTTTAGTTAGCAACTGTATCTCATATTTGCCTATGCACTATTTTGCCAGATACTGGCTTCAAGTTGGTCACTTTATAATTACCTTAATGGTTCCTCATACCCCTCTGAAGTACTTGCAAAACCCAGGAAGTCTGCAGTCGCCTGCAATATTGCCAGCACTCCCAGGTTCATTAAAACCAGATGTTTCCTGAGCCAACCCTCTCAAGACTCTTGGGTATATGTTATCCTAATAGATAATGTTTAGCAGACTCTGGTTACTTCTTCTTGGAAGTAATCATCCTTATCTAAGCCTGTATGCTGCAGCTTTTAAAATACAGAATGGGAATCATGACATAATGTCTTCAACTCCCTGGCTTTGTTATCTTTAATTATCTTTGCCTGATAATGCCAGCATTCCTACTGTTCTCAAACCTACATTGTCTTTACCTCCTCTCACTAATCTGGAGAGTTTAGGTGCTGTGTTTAGCTATCCCCTGCTCCACCAACCTCTTTTCTGCTCTTCCTTTCTGACACTGAAGGTGTTTTGTGGATGAGGAACAGCAAGCAAGTCCTGGAGGAGCGTCCCAACAACTGACTAGGGATTCAGAGGCTTTCTGCAACTCACATACAGGTTAAAAGGCCAAAACCCCTACCTGCAAAGAAGGGAAAAATGCATAAGGAGAAAAATTATCTCCAATCCTCAGGGTCTCCATGCTATTGTACAGGGCTTCTCTTCATCTAAAAAAAAGATCAGGAAAATAAGTTAATAGTTGGCACAGAGCCTGGAGATAGGGACAGAAGTCATGTCTATAAACTATTCACTTTGAGTCTTTTTCCCATTCATTCCATTTTTTTTTCCAAATTACCTGCCCCATGTTGTCTTCACTGCCCCACACACAACTGAACTAAAAGCTTTGCACTCAGACTACAAGGAGAAGCTTGTTATAGTACTAACACATTCACTGCGCACACAACTGCATTCTAATAAGTATGGTGGTGGAGAGAAATCCTCTTAAATCAAAAAAATACTGCAACGAATAATGAGAATGTTCAACAAAACTCTCTGAAGCAAACAGGGAAATAGAAAGATTGTTTGACCTTTTAATACTGTAAATATATCTGTGGTGCCCAAGGAACTGCTGCATCCCACAGCCTCCTGAACAAATACCTGATGCCTCTAATAACACTGTTTTCCTGCATATCTCTGTAACAGACACATGGCTCCTGTTAGCAGCAGGACAAGACAGTTGGGAAAATACAGGCAATATTTCCCAGGTGTTTGGGTTCTTTTTGGTTTCGGCTTTTTTTGGTTTTGTTTCATTTTGTTTTTTTCATCAAGGAACTATGTCCATTGCATAGGCTGGATCACTAGCAGCATCCATTTCTTCTCAATTGAGTCAGGCAATAGCAGAATACTGGGGATTGATGTGTACAGGCAACCAAGGGCTACTTTATTAGTCATGACAGCCTGAAGAACCAGCTGCAATAGAACATGTCCCACTGGACAAGCCACACTTCACTGGGAAAAACAGGATGAACAGCCTGAGCTTAGAGATTCTGTAGTCCTGAGGAAGCTCTGCAGGTCAGAGTGGGATTCTGATGAGTGCCTGAAGCAATGGTATCTCTGCCTCCTCAAGTATCTCCTGTGGCTGACAACAGAAGAGCCTCCATAGGCTTTGGGTTCACCCCACATGGAAGTGGTTATAGAAAGAAGGCTCCTCATTGTCTGACTTTTGGGGTGAGCCTATACACTCCCCAAAGCATTTTCTAGGAGCTTCCAAACAGCAGTGAGGGGACAAAGAATAAACCTGTCTGCTTCATGTGACCGCTCACAGGGCAAAGACCATGAAGTTAATTCTCTGCTAATTATCTCCCAAACTGGAGCTGTGAAGCTCCTTTGCTCTACAACAGAGCAAATTTGCTGGGCACTGAAAGATTTACTGGATTTCTGGAAGCTGAGATGTTATCTGCACAGAGCTGCAATGTGCCAGGAAACCTCACCAGCTCTTTAAAAGGCACCAAGGCACAGCCCCAGGTCAGGTTTCCAAAACACTTCAGTTCCCACTGTGTTAGGTCTGTGAAACTCTAGTCCCAGGTATGAGTACTGATCTGTTTGAAAAATCAAGCCATAAGCTCTTGAAAACTCTTTTCTCATGTTCTTCCAATTACTACTGCTCTCATTTAAAAGCCTGCTAGTGTTGGAGGGTGGTGTGATCAGCACAGTAATAGAAACAGGGTTTTGGAGTCTGCAGAGCTATCTCTGGCTGGAAAGTTTTAGCCGTTCTTCCTTGAAAGTAGCATTAAGAATGGGAAGAAAATAGTAACAGGGTGTTTAAAACGATACCCAGAAAAAACAGAACTGTTTCACTAATCTCTCACAATTCTCTGGCCATGTCAAAGGAAAAGCCATGACTTACTCACTGCCAAAACACTTTTGAGAAAGTATCACAAAAAAGAGAAGCTAGAGGAATTAAGATAGCAGAGGAGAGAGGGGGATATGTGTGTGTAAGTTATTATTTGGATGGAACTTTAACAAATGCAAAAGAAGTGAATGGCCTATTTTCACCCTGGCAAACGCCATGTGCCTCAAGGCTCCACCCTGGCTTTTGCACTGTTTAATTCATTTGTGTTTATGAATTATCTAGAGAGGGATGGAACTGAAATAGCAAAAAATACACCAACCACAAATTTTTAGGTGGGTCAGTAGCATGAATGATTCGGATGATGTTCAGGAAGATCTTAGGCAACCAGATGACTGGTCCAAGTAATCAAGCATTGGAAAAGGGGGGAAAAATGCTGCTAAGGTTCCTCATTGCTGCACAGCGCATCCCCACAGCAGGCACATGCCCAGTGCCTCTGGCACAGAATAACACCATGGGTCTGAGCAGCAATTGCCCTGGTTCCACTCTGGGACAGGCTGTGCCCCACAGCAGGGCAACACCTCCCCTGGCTCTCAGCATGGGGCTCTGCTAGTTCGTATAGGCAGCCGGTCCTCCTCTGCCTTCTCCTGACCACTGCACACAAATACACACATAGGACTCTCAGGTCTTCCTTGGCCTCTGTCTCAGTGAGGAGCAGGAAAGCAGAGGACTGAGGATGCAACAGGAAAGAGAAAGAGGCTGTGATGTTATAAGGATGTTATAAGGAGGAGGAGAAGAAAGGACAAGAAGAAAAAATGGTCAAGAGATGGGGCTAGGGAGAGAATGCTGCACTGCAGGTGGTACAGAGATATAATGCAGGTGACACAAATAAGTAGTCCAAGTCATTGTTGTAGATATATTCCTGCAGATTCAGTATGTGCACGAAAGATGGCAGGGAGCCAGAATTATTTAGAAATGAAACACTTAAAAACGTTTAAGCAATTCTACATAAGCACTATAGACCCAGCTGAAATCCTACACATAACATCTCTTCACAGGCTCTGAAAACTCCCTCAGAGATGCTGCACAAGTTAAACAGGGTTATGAGAAGCAACAGAGATTAAAAAAAAAAACAGTAAGAATTGCTGTTAAAGCAAGATATTAAGAAGACATCCTAAGGAAAGAACAGAAGACAAGGCTAGGGTTTGGGTTTAAAAGTACAACAATAAAAGAGCTACAGATGAAGTGGGAAGGAAAAGGGATGCCAAAGGAACAGGGTGCTGCAAACGCATTCTGCACTGACAGCTCCTCCACCTCCAGGATGCCTGAGGATCTTGGGTAAGGCTCTGCAGACAAAAAGAGCAAGTGAAAGGCTTAGGGTTAGTGTCGAGAGAGAGACAAAAACTACTGCTCCAGTTGGAGTAGGGTAGGAAAGGGGCTGCCAAAAGATAGATTGTCTGCCAAAATAGCTCTCCTATGGGAGCTCGCTCATCCTAGCCAGTACTGGGAAAGCTTGGACAAAAGTCAGCCAAGGTCAGCAATTTGGACTGGTGTGGATTTGGGGTTTATGTTGGGAGAAGTGCAAAGCCTATCTCCCTATTTTTGAGTGGGGCTGGAAGAAGGCTGCCAAACCAGTGTTTAAGCTGCTGAAAGAATTCCTCCTCTGATGCATTTTGTACAAGGATGTGATGAAGAAACATGTAATCTTTAGAGTATACTCACTTTATCCCTGCTCTTTACTTCATAACATCAGGAAATGAGACATGCAGTAAAAAAAAAAAAATAATTACAGGGAAATAACCACAGGCAAAAAGAAATATTAAATACCTTTTGCAAACAGGTTTCTAAGCCTACATATTCATTGCTGTAGTAGACCAAGGACACTGGATGATTCAAAATGGAAATATATTTGTCTGTTGATAACATTAACTTCCAGAGTCATGGGAGTTAATGGTAACAACAATTTTTAGAGTATATTAAATGGCATTCTTCAGGGCTTAATCCAGCCCCTAACTATTTAGGGATCAGGATGAGATCTAATGGGGCTTGAGAACAAGGTTGAAAGAATTGATTATCCTGCATCTGCCTGCTGTGAGGTTGTTATATCTTCCTCTGAAGCATGTAGCGCTGGCCAGGGTCAGAGGCAGGATGCTGGACAAGAAGGAACCCTGGATTAGCTTGTCTATACTCCCTCTGCTCTGCCTTGCCTGCAAGCTATGCAAGGTTTTATGTCTGTAATCCACAGCTGTCCTTGAGGAACACACAGGGCCTCTGAAATGCTAAACAGCCCAGGGAAAGAAGCTTACCTGAAGCCATGAGTAAACCCAGCAGTCAAACCTTTGGCACAGAATTTGGCTTCTTCCTCTTCTAAATCGCTCAAGGTTTGGATGTCTTTGTTTTCAGCTCTGTATCTGAAAGATAAAGGAATTAGCAGGATTTTTTTAATCTTTGTGTTCTCCCAGATAAGTGTATTAGAGGAATTTTGTAGGCTATGGACATATTTATTTTGAATTAAAGCTGCACCATACTGTGTGTTATTGTATCCTAGCGTAGGGCACAGCTGAGCCATGCAGTCTTCTATACCTGAGTGCAGAAACATAATTTCTTTTGCCCAGCCCTGGACATCTGTTGTGACACAGAGCACATGGGGTCCAAAAGGTCTCCTTAAATATATTTTTTATTTTTAAAATTTAATAGAAAAATTGATTTTGGATTTCAAACAGCAAAGAAATAAAGTGTAACGTAGGGCATTATGGAGTCAGTGTGCCCAGTTATTGACAGAGACCAATAATTATATTCCTGTATAACTTTCTTTTAGTGAATACAAGAGAATCTCAACTGTCTTTACCTGAGCTCTCTCCAGCCACTTTCTTCCAATTTAACCAGAGGGAAGGTTGCTGCTACAACCTAGGATAAAGAAGAAAATAGAAAATGCGATAGACAATTAACAGGCAGACATGCTTCCTCATTGTGAGCAGAGTTGTTGCTGGTGTCTGCAAAAGGAAATACAGTTTTCAGAAAAGATCAAGCCCAGAACACACTCTAAATCTCACAGGCAAAGATCTGTGAACAAAATGAACTTATTTCTTGGGTGCAGTGCTCCTTTACCCAGACAGAGGGATATAGGGGAAGGTGGGAAGCACAGTATGAACCCTTCCCATCTCAGTATCTATGAGCCACTCTGATTCCTCCTCATGACCATGTGAAGCCCTCCCTGAACACAGCAGCCCACCAAGCAGCATAGATCCAGCACCAGCTAAGTCCTTTCTTAAGTACATCCTAGATACCCTATCATTGCCTTCAGCAAATCTCCTTCACTCTTAGCCCTGGCCCAGTCAACGCTCAGGGACATGCAGTTTCATTAACCCTATGTTAACCAGGGCTGCATTCAAGTACACCATCCTGAGAAGTACTACCATTGTCTCAGGTTCTATCAACTCAGTTTCTCCTGCCACTCTTTTTTTTTCCCTCCTGCCTTCAGCAGGCTCTTTAGATTCAAGTACTAACCTCAAGCCAATTTTTTATTTCAAAGCTGGATTACTGCCTTAACTCCCTCTCCCCATTTTTCTACCACTTATCTCAATGCTCTCTAACTGCGAGGATGTAACACAGAAACAAAGGACCAGGAAAAAGACAAGGCATTAAAGTATAAATGGTTCTAAATACTTAATAGTTGGAAGGAAGAAAATTGTAACCTCCATTAATCAGAGGTAAAACAGTGACAATAGGCTTCAGCTGGTTGTGCACCTATTTATTTTTAAGACACCAGAAAACATGCTTGAAAACGCTTCACTCAGATGTGGCTTCAGACATGATTTAGAAGTTTTCTCACTTTGGAAACAATCAGATAGCATTTGAAGGGGAAAAAAAAGAATTCACCTTTATGAGGACTGGCACTCCAGACAAGAGACAGTCAAGAGTTGTAGATTGAACCCCCTTCTGTGTAAATTACTGCAATTTCTGTTTAATTTCACCATAAATATGTTTGCTGCCCGTTCTTGAAACTTATCCATATGCTTTTAAAACTGCAGCTTGAAGCTCCAGGCCCTGAAGTCAAGAAAGGATATGAGAGTCTCATGTGCCATCATAAATAAAACTGATGCCTGACTTACGATTGTGAAGATAATACTGAACATCAAAAATGTTCAGCTATCAAGAAAAAACACCCTATTCTGTCTCTTTTTAACTAACGATTTTTAAAGGCAAACTCATAAGGATGGTGTACCAACTTGTCCTCTGAACTGCTGGAGTGAGCAGTGCAGTAGACATGGGGCCATTATAAGTATACAGACCCCTCAAGGCTGCATCCTTTGTTTCTCACTCCAGCTGCTAGTGGGAGAAAAGATGGAAGATGCAAATGGCCAGTGCAAACAGCCAGGCTTGTGCCATCTGCTGCCTTGTGGGAAGTCTGGAAAGACTTGCTCTTCTGAGACTTCTTGGCCTGCCCAAGACAGGATTTGTCTTTGGGGTCCTCGAGCCTGAAGCAGTGAACTGCTGAGAGTGATGCATTTATTGCTTTGACCTATACCTTATCTGCTACTCTCCTTTGAAACGCTACAGCTTCACTTGTAAACTGTACTCTTGTCTCAGTAGCCTCTTGAGCTCTGAGCTGGATTCTGTTTCCTTTAACAAATCAGCCTCCTAGCCCCCATTTTAACATTAATTGATTGGAGATGCTTTTAACTGTTCCTTCTGGGTGTATTAATTTTTTACAGACTGAATTTGGTTTGATGAGGCAGGAAACCTGAAACTATTTCTGGCATCTCCTGCATACTCAGAATAACCACTCTAATGCATTCAGAGAAGCACACAGCAGCAGGGTGGTAACAGAGTAGGGCTGGTGAGGGGGGTAGGCAGATGAAGGGGAATAGAGGAGCCTAGTAGTCACCTATCCATTTCCAAAAAACACCAGTAAGTAATTGCTTACCCGTGTCATCTTTTATATTAAACATTTTTCCCAGCAATGCAGGTATTTCGATCCGGTTGGGGCTGCTGACATTAACAGATGTTAAATACACTCAGGAGAAATATGATCAAATGTTTGAAGTGTCTAGTAAATGTGCTGTTAGCTGCCCTCCCAGGGAGGCTTAGTGGAAGCTATTGTGTTTTGCTGAGAGAGAGAAAACCTGGAATATTAGACAAGGAATCCAAAGGCAATTTTATCAGCAGTGTTATGCAGCTCTGGAACACATAGCTAAAGGATTGGAAGCTTTTCTATTATAGCCATCTACTCGCTTGCTATTCTTAAATATTAAAATGCCATTTTACATTTTAAACCTTCCTAGTTGACATCTGTAAAGGACGCATATGCTCAACAGCATAAAGGGTTGCTATGCTCAACAACAATACCTGCTGATTCTGACACTGTAGCAAGGCTCTGGGCAGGGCTGGGCTTTGACACCCTATAAGACCAGACAAAGGCTTCACCCTTCCTGCTCACTCAAACAGAAGTGGGAGACACACTTGTCCAAACTCCTTTCTCATGTAACCTGCTCAGCTTAGCATGTTCAGTCCATAGATGAGGTCAACTTATTCCACTCCTAGTGAGATGCCCTGGATCATCAAATAGGCTTTATCCATCTCAGAGAGTGTTTTTTGTTTCCTCCAACAAAATTTGCCATCTTTTTAATTCCAAAGATGCAGCAAACCAGCAAACCCCATTATTACTGCTCCTGGAGCAAAGGAAAGAACAGATGGGAAGACCATTGGCAGAGTAGGAAGAAGATCAGCCATTAGAAGTTGTGCAGAAAAACATCAGGAAAAAAGGCCATGAGAAGATATTCCCTGAAAGAACATCTTCCCACAGCAGCTATCTCTCCTCTGTTATTCAGCTTTTGTCTCATCAGAAAGTAGGAGATGCTGCTCCTTTCTCTTGGCACATGAGGGATACCGTGCCTGAGCCTGTGAGACCTCTGTTGGGCTGGGCAATGTAAACACTCCTTCACAGACATTTTCTCATCCTTAAAACAGCCCTCTTAATCCAAGGTTATAAAAAAGAAACCAACTAAAAGTAAAAGGCCACTTGCTTTGGTAAAACGCCAGGTCCCCCATAGGGTGAAATGGTTGTAGATCGCAGAAGACATCCCATTTATTAGTAATAAATAAACTACATAGATTAGTGACATACATAGTATTTTTCTGTCCTGGAAAGCATCCTCATTCTGTTAAAACTTCCCAATCAATATATCTAAATAATCCAAATGCAGCCATGTCTGAACTAGATACAGCCCATCAAAACACTCCTCTTCAGCCAAAAGTTCAATTAAGCTGAACTGAAGGACCAGATGTTTTTCTTATTAAGGAAATCAAATGCCATGCTTCTGGTGTACAGCCACACCTTACCTGAGTTGTGCTGTCCCAGCCAGGGCACTAGGGTGCTCCTGAGACCCAGGGCTACACATCCAAATCACTCTTGTAGATAATTTGAATTCAGCCTGAATTCAGTCCTGCCCACCTTTCCAGCAGGCAATGTTAGTGCCCTGCTAGGAAGGACCTGGACCATCCCGTCTGTCCAATCAAATGTGATGCTGCTACAGGGGAAACAAGATACATGAGGACAGCAGGGTCTTGTATCGCACACCGGGGTCTCCAGGCACACTCACCCTGTAGCACCTGTACAGCACGATGTTCCCTTTCTTCCTCCTCCCAGTAACTCTGGGCTGAACAGCTGGGTTAGCCCAGAAGTACCTCAAGGCAGTGAACCATTGGTCTCATTTGGCAAGGCAAGCCCTAGGCCTCCTGTGTGTTAAAGCAGCACGCTTATTTTAAATTCAAACCTGCTGTCTTTTTCTACTCTTCTTTTCTATTGCTAAAAATGGTTTTATGACAGATCTTGATGGATATGAATTGTCTGCCATATGTTGTTTCCTTTCCTGACTGTTATCTCCATATGTCAAATGTACTTGGATCTGATGATCTCCATACAAATGATAACAAAACAAACAGACAAGGAGAGGCCAGACTACAGGGGAAACAGAATCCCAGTCAGAGAACTGAAATACCAGCAGACAGCCTTTGTACTGGAGAATGTATGGTTTATGTGCTGTCACTCAAAACCAGTGACTTGCTACTCCTTCCAGGCACTCCTCCACATTAGTTGCTCTCTGGCTGCTAAGGATGTGTTTGAGGGGAAATTTGCTGGGGATACAGCACCCTGTTTAGGATATACAGAATGTATCCTTGTGAATGAGAGTTGTTTTGCCTCCAGTATAACTAGTGCCAGGTTTTTATAACCTGTTTTTTCCTGGCAAACTGGGTAAGTTATCAGAAGTGCCTCAAGTGACTTAAACTTACCAGAGATTTGATCTCCTAAGTCCATTAGACTTTTAGGAAAATTGGATTCTTTCTCTCTTACAGTCATTACCTTTCTCTTTCATTTTGTCCTTATCACATTGACATTTTTTTCCTATGTCTTTGAGGCTCCTCCCATTCTCCAAGAGATCCAACAGCAAGGAGTATTTAAGAAAGAGAAGATATTAAATACCTGATAATCCAAGATAGTGTAAAGTGGGAATCCTACCATGTTGTTCCAAACTACCTTTTCCCTATAGGCCACAGTTTGGATTTCTTAGACCAGATACAGGAATTCCTTCCCATCCTTCAGGCTGCTCCCGCCTGCAATCAGCATCTGTAAACAGGGGAGCTCTTGGGCTGGCCTTTTCATGTCTGTTGCAAAGAGGCTGGTGTCAGTGAGGACAGGTGAAGCCCTACTCTTACAGCAGTCACATCTCTGTGTGGGAGCTTTCAGGCAACACAGATCCAGAGTCACATTGTGCAGCCCCTGTGACCATATTGCATTGCTGGAAAGGAATCATCTTTCCCATGAGAAGTATATCTGCAGCACTTCTCCCTTGCTCCTGTGCCCAAACTTTCTGCATAAGAGCAAGGAACAGTGTCTTTCTTCCTGGATGAATCTATAAGGAATTAAGTTCTTCTTTACAGGCCAAGGCAGATCTATGCAGTTCCTGAG